TATTATTAATTTTTCCGACGATATGTGGAGTTTTCTTATAATAAAGACCAGCTACTTCTTTAACTTTTTTAAACATATTAAACGTATCATGTTTTTCATTAAATTATTCTACTTCCTTGCATTTATCCTCCATCCATTTTTCTTTAGCCACCTTTATTTTTTGTTTAATTAGTTTCTGTTTTTCCTTATATTCTGTCTTGTTACCTTTCAGTTTCCTTCTCTGCTCCATTAATTCCTATTTTAATTGCTCCTGCTTTAATTGGCTATATAATGATTCGACATCATTGTCGTATTTCTTTTCTGCAGGAGGGGCATATATCTGGATAACATTGACATTAATTGGTTTGCTATTTAATTGGAGTATTGCCAACTCCATTCCTATGATGTGTGTCATCTTCTACACTTCCAGAATAGTATAGTGTGCCTTCATCTTGTTCACATATTCCCGTTTAGATGAGAAGAAAAAAGGACGTTTAGTTATTTTGCCACTTTCCGGTATTCCAAATCTCATTGTAAATTCTAAGCATTACTTCCGTCCCTAATTCTCTCATTCCATTGAGTGTTTCAGCTGTTATTCCATCTTCTCGTTCTGCTTTTCTGAATTTTAGTTTTTTAATTGCCACCTCAATTTCCGATTTCAATATTTGAGGTTCTTTTTTATATCTTCTTTTCTTGTATTATTGTCTGGGTCGTTGTTGGAGACTAGTATTTTGCAATATTGTTTCCATACCTCTGCGATACCGTCTAGGTTTGTTATGGTATTTCCACTATTATCTTTGATGATCTGTATCTGCGGTTGGAATTCGCTCCCTAGATACTTGACTTTTGAGAAAAGTTCTATAGATTCTTGGCGGTCAGCTGGTTCCTCTAGTTGTACAGATATGTTTTTAATATAATTATTTTTGTCCCTTCTGCACAAGTGTTTTACACAGCCTAATAATGCTGTTTCACTAGCTAAGTCAGGATGTTTCTGTAAAATTTTGATAAATCTAAGTTTGCCGATCTTGTAACCTACTAATGTAGTGTTACATCTTGAAAAGAGTGGAGAAATAGCAAATTCTCTGCAATGACGTCGCGATATATAAAACTATCGGGGTCTGACCCGATGACATGAGCTGTTTAGAGATTTTTTAATCAGTTCATATAGCACGCAATACATCGTTCAAAAGCTCTTGTGTCTTGCAGATAAAAAGTCCCAAGAAAAAGCTAGTACCTATTCCTTTTAATATAAAACTAAAACCAAATGGTCACATTTTGAGAGATGAAACTTAATGCAACGATGGCGATAGTCCAGAAGATCTTCGGTTCGGTGTCAATAGCGGAAGTGGCAGTCATTGTTTTTAGGCGTATGGTAGTAAAGAAGCACAGTAGCATCTGACCCAGAGTAGACGGCTGCAAACAGCGCGATACTCCGCATGTCAGCAGCTGTTGAAATTGCAGTTGGAAAAAATAAGGGAAGATTACTCAACTAATTCGTTCCTGGTAATTTCTATTGCCAATAGCGTTATTACATCTAGAAAGGCATTAATGGAAGAAAGAAGATTTACGCTATAATATACAACAAAAACAGGAAACAATGCTCAATAAATAGCGGAAATGAGCAGGAAAGTAAAATGTATGTGCATCAGAGATTAAAACAATCATATATAAATACCGTTTGTCAAGAATTGGAGCAATATGCAAACGACCATGGTATCTATGAATTATTTAAAAAGTTAAATATTTCGCCCGAAAGTGGCGGTCACAACTTCAGGACAATAACATAATATAGAAGTCAAAAATCGACATCGAGAGCATTGCAGAAAGCCGTAAAAACTACTGCTCAGAATTATACAAATATATCCCAAAAAATGCTTCATTCTCAGAACCCAAGAAACATACAATTAAATAACAATTAAATTTATTGAAACTATAAAGAAAACAAAAAAGGAAGATTATATATATTATGTAAAAGCAGTAAAGCAAGACGAAAAAAAATTATAACATTCAGTGGCGGCTTTTCTTTATGTGCTGCTGAGCTGCAGAACTACCAAACAACCATAGCAAATCTTAATTATTAAAGAATAATTAATATAGTTTTATTTCAAATCTGCCATATTATCATATTAAACATAAACTGTTAATAATAATTCACCAACAACGATGATTAATATTATTTTTTTTACGTATTTACTCCTCTAGTGAAACCGTATAATTTTTTTACGTATTTGGTGCTCCAGTGAAGCAATCTTTTTACGTATTTGCTGCTCCAGTGAAGCCGCGTCGATAACAACCGAAACACTGGCAGCGGTAAAATGCATTTATTAGGCAAACGGCGATCTTAGCCGATGTGCTTCGGCAATCGGCTGATTAACGGCCTCGGAAATGTGTTTGCGAGCTGCAATTCACGACAGTTATTCGTGACCGTTGCATCTGTGCCGTGTTTAGAAAATTTAATAAAGACATGTATCTACGAAATCAGTGGATTTGTGGATGTTCCGAAAAAAATGCTTTTTTCTGTTTTCCGTGTGCATTATTCGGCGCAGATAAAGAGGAAAAATTGTGGCGCGAGACAGGAGTGCGGGATCTAGTGCATTTAAGTGAAAAAATAAAGAAGCATGAAAACACGCAAACTCATATGAACAATGAAATGCGATTTGCATTATTTGGGAAACTTAATATACAGGCCCAACTTGACTCTGCTTATTGGATAAATATACAAAAACACAATGAAGAGGTGACGAAAAACAGGTATGTTTTGTCAAAAATAATTGACTGTATAAAATTCTGTGGGGCTTTTGAGCTCGCCTTACGAGGACACGATGAATCTGAAACATCAGATAACCCTGGAATTTTTCGTGGTTTAGTGAATTTTTCTGCTGAACTTGATAAAACACTTAGTGAACACCTTACAAATGCGACAATTTTCAAAGGTACTTCAAAAACAATACAAAATGATATTTTGGATTGCATGCTAGAAGTATACGCTGAGGAGATTTTAAACGAAATCAATGAAGCCCCATTTTTAGCAGTGATAGCTGATGAGACAACGGATGTTTCTATGAAATTTCAAATGGTCATTGTTTTTCGTTATGTAAAAAACGGTGCTCCAGTTGAAAGGTTTTGGACTTTTTTGCTTCCAGAAAAACATGATGCTGAAACCTTAGCTAACACAATTTTGAATGTTTTAGACCCAATATTAAAGAATAACAAAAATAAGCTCATTGCACAAAGTTATGACGGAGCAGCTGTTATGAGTGGGATACATGGCGGAGTGCAAACAATAATTAAGAGAAAATATGAAACTGCTCATTTTGTGCACTGTTACGCCCATCAATTGAATCTAATAATGTCAAGAGCATGTTCTATTAATTCCCAAGTACGCGTATTTTTTGGAGATTTACATGATATACCTGGATTTTTTAGTCATTCACCTCAAAGAATAGCTGTCTTAAATCAAATAGTTGGAAAAAATATTCCTCGTTCAATCCCTACACGCTGGAATTTCAATATTCGTACAGTAAATGTCGTTTACGAATATAGAGACTTTATTATTGAGTGTATGGAGCAACTAGAAGAAGAGTCAAATGCTATTACTTCCAAGGAAGCAAGAGGACTTAGACGTATTCTGGAAGATCAAAATTTTACTTTCTGGCTGACTGTTTTTCATTATATTATGCCACATGTTGACGTTTTGTACAATAATCTTCAAAAAAAGAACATGGACCCAACCGAAGCACAGAAAGCTATACATGTTTTTGAGCAAAGTATTAACAATGTCCGAAATAAAATAGACCCTATCATACATCAAGCTTCAAATTTAAATGCGGCGCCTAGTGTCCAAAAAAGGAAACGCCCAAATAACAGCCAACAGGATCACCGTATTGCCTGTCTAGAAGTTTGTGATGTTATTATAAACAATGCAAAAGAACGGTTTGCATATACAAATCATCTAGTTGCCGCAACACTTTTATCTTCAGAACATTTCGAAAAATATAATAATAAGTTTCCTGAAAATGAATTGGATTTAACTTGTACAGCTTATAACTTCTTTGATAAAAACCGTTTGCGAACAGAACTGTCAGTTTTGTATTCCAATATCGAGTGTAGAACATTAAAAGGTGCAGTGCCTTTACTAAAATTTATAATTTCTAATAATTTAGAGGACACATTAACAGAAACCAAAAAGTTGATACAAATTCTGGTGACTACGCCAATGACCACAGCAGAAGCTGAACGTAGTTTTTCAACTTTAAAACGGATCAAAACATTTTTAAGAAATTCAATGTGCGAAGACAGATTAACAGCCCTTTCCACACTCTCGATAGAAAAAAAGTTCATCGCTTCAATACCGAACTTTAACGATAAAGTAATCGAAAAGTTTGCGACAAAAAAGGACCGGCGTATTAATTTCCAATTTAGAAAAATGCAATAAATGTAAGTTAATCAGATTTTTATAGCATGTCGTTATTAGTTACTATTAATTAGTATTAAAGCTAATTTTATTGTTTTTGTTTTCGTATGTTATTCTATTTCTATTATTTTATATTGACCGTGGTTCATGCAGCACACCCTATAGCAGATGTCACGAGCCGCCACTGATAACATTACTAATTCTATAAATCGAATTTAAAAGGGGAAACGAAAATAAATAAGTTATTCTATTTTGCTAATTAATACGACGTAGTAATTTTAAAAACTACAGGTTTATGGACAGCAATGTATTTGTATCAATTAATATCAACTATATTTAAAAATTAAAATTTCAGTTTAGCTACGCCAAATATATGCAACACAAATTACAATTTGTGTTCTTATATTCAAATTAATTGTCTGTTATAAATTGTCACATATTTTCACATTGTTTCACAGGATAAATTTTATTTTACAATACGTATTATATTGAAATTACAATATTTTATTTGAACTAATTAAATCGATGATTGGGAGGTTTCCACTTTCCACATTCTCGAATGATCTAGGCGAATATAACGACGCTTCTAATCGATACTACTGTCATTCTTCTACTGGTTGTCTGTTGTTTTGCACCTGAACTTTGACAGATTAGATTTATATATTTTGAAAAAGCTACAACTTTCAGACAAAAACTCTGTTTTAGAAAAGTAAAACTGGCTAATTACGGCGATATGGATGTAGATCCGACTCCAGGTAATTCCGGTGGTATGTACCTATATATTTTTCAATTCTCTTTGTTGTATATCAACCAAAACAAGGAGTCGGCAAGCTGTAACATTAACATGAAAATCAGATTGTTTAAGATTATTTGAAGAGTACATTTTATTTTTATCAAATATAATGTGGAAATATGGGTTTTTACAATTGTTTCTGTTTTATGGTAATACTGTTCTTAGTGCGTAAAGTGTAGAGTATATATTTAAATATATAAAAAACAGCAGGTGTGAATTTGTCTATTAGTGTGATGCATTATAATTAGTTGTAGTAATAGGAGCATTGACCGCTTTAAGGATATGAAGCTGAAAATAAACTTAAAATATTAGAACCCATGTTAAAATTTCAAGTGTTCAAGTTCAAGTGTTAACTAGCTTTTATCACCTTCCAGCAGGTGCCAGTATTCCTAAAAGGTTCCTAACATTATTTACTTTTATAGAGAGATTATAAACATATATAATGTGAATAGGTAGGCATAACCACTATCAACAAAACAAATTGAAATGCTAAATACAAGATAAACAATTTATCACAGAGAATATTTGTTAGAAAAGAACAGTAATACTACTAACATGGTAGCATTTAATCTTGATCTGAGGTTCAAGTTGCTCATAAGTTATGTTTGGATGTGAGTTTGTATATATTATGATACAAAATGTTGAATATTTTATACCAATCTGCTACAAAAGGAATATTTTCTGTACATTATAGATAAAAATCCGTACAGAACAATATATTTTTGCTTATGCAGTAGTAAGGAAAATGTTTTATTTATTTCAGGAATTTGTGGATATAATTTAGTTGGATACAACTCTATAAATCCATACACAGGTGGTGTAATCATTTTGAACAGACTTACTGGTATATGACAAGAAAAGTGGAATTTGCAACTGCAAATTGGATGTTTGTATTATTCTCAGTCTCTGTCCTGATGCTTCATTTATTGAACAGTTCGAAAGCAATTTTTATTAGTTTTTTTTTAATGATAAGTGAAATTGTATTTTCATTTTAATTTAACAGGCCTCAAGCTTTTTGCTCTATTCTGCTCTGTCCCTTTCTTGAATTTTACAGTTGGCAATGCTGATCTTCGCAGCATCCTGTGTAAGTCCACCTATCCACCTCAGCTTTGGTCTGCTCCATCTATTCCCACTGTATGTGCTGTTAAAATCCTCAGTAGTATCTATTCTACAAAAATTAAATCTATGTTGTACAATCAAGTAATTAATGAGCCTACAATTATGAGTTAACTGCTTCTATCATATAGGTCTTGTACTTCAAATACAAATGTATCTGCTAGTATTAACTCCTGATTCAATCATTTTCTTGATAATGTGATGTTGGATTTTAAATAGAATGTTCCCAGAATATGGGACAATGTATGTATTCTGTAGTTTGGTGTTTATTTTATTTGGCAGGGAGCCATGTGGGAATAGTAAATTCTCCCATTGTCTGCTATTGATGCTATTAGAGCATCAAGCATGCGTTAAAATCAATGAAAAGATTGCATGTGTCCATATTAAATTCATGAGTTTTTGTTATGTCATGCTACAAAGCAAAAATCTGGTTTCTGCCTGTGGAAACTGCATTGCTACAACTATTTGTTCTTCTTTGGTTACTTATATACAATATTTATTTATTTATTTATTTAATTGACAGATATACCATTTTTACAGAAATATGACGTCAACCTTTACAAAGCTTATATATAGGTTGCGTTAATTAATAATAACAAACCAAAATTAAAATCAAACAAAATTCAATTAAAGTAGTAGCTTAAGTTATTAAATAATGCTCAAAATCTCTCAAATGATTTCTTAAATGCTGCTGTAGATATTCCAAATAACTCTAAACTATTGCTGTGCTCATTGGCAGTTTGTAAAATTCTTGTAATGGGTTCATTTTGGCCATAATTCGTAGTGTGAAATGGAATGTTGAAAATTTCAGTATTACGAGTTCTTGTAGTATTAACATTAAAATTTATTAAACTTAGTAACTCTGGATCTTGAACATATCCATTTATAATTTTAAAAAGGAAACATAAATCCACTTGACATCTTCTATCATGTAGTGATGAGATATTTAGTACGGATAGTATATCATCATATGTGTATTGATGTCTAATAAAACCAATTTTGTAAGAACATACCCTCAAGAATTTATTTTGAACTCTCTCGATACTGTAGATGTCACAGTTATATGAAGGAGACCAAATGAGAGAACCATACTTCAAGACTGAACGAACTAAACTACAGTATAACATTTTCAAAATATTGGCTTGAAAACTGATTACAGTTTCTAAAGTATGTACTGAAAACTGATTACAGTTTCTAAGAATAAATCCCAACATTTTTAAAGCTTTAGCTGAAGTTTCGTTAATGTGATATTTAAAAGTTAGTTTAGAATCAAAATTGATACCTAAATCTTTAATATTATAATGTGCCTCTAAAGGTACATTATTTATACAATAATCATAATTTACAAACTCTCTTGTTCTTCCAAAAGTAATTTTAAAACATTTTTTTATATTTAAGTATAGCATGTTTACAGTCTGTCCCAAACCCTTTTTTCAGTGCGTCACTAATTTTGACGTCATATAGGATTTAAAGAATTTCGAGAATTATTGCATGACATTTTAGTTAAATCTGACAGTTGCAGGATCGTAATCGGCTAAATGTGAAAAGGTTATTTTTTTTTTAAATGCATAGCAGTTTGTTATAATTCTGTTCTATTCTGTTCTATTTTATACATTCCAAGGAAAGTGCTTAATTAGCTAAGATTTGTTTATGGATTTATTATTATTTATTACAAACACACAGGCATATTGCAATGACAATTGCAATTGTAAGGCATCAAAGTAAATATTCCTGTGATAAAATAACATCGATTTAAATCAGTCATATTTGGATAAGTAATTTTCTGATAAGTTTCTGTGGCAGCCAATAGTTTAATTTTGTGAAGATTTGTCATTAAATAGTGGAAATAGTTTAAATAGTGAAGCAGTTGATTTTTGAGTTATTCTACCAGATTTGGTGTGCAAATGAAAGAAGGTTATAAAGTTTAGTTAAAAAAAAAACAGTATAAATAGTTTAAATAGTGAAGCAGTTGATTTTTGAGTTAATCTACCAGTTCCGGCATCCAGATGAAATCGTGTTAATGGAGTTTAGTTAAAAAACAAGATACCGAATGTAAGTTTACCTTCTTTTTAATGAATAACAAAAATGAATATTATATTTCAAACAATCCATAATCCCATTCAGAATCTGATTCTTTAAAATCAATGATTACACTATATATATGTGGCTGGTATCAATTATATCTTACATTTCAAGAAAATGTCGTGGTTCTAAAAAGAACCGTTTTAATACATATAAATATCCATAACGGTATTAGTTTAAGATATTTTCTCAATATCATTCCGGAATTCACAATCTGATTCGCGAACAACAGAAACTGATAATAAAGATAACTCAGCCTCTTTTTCTAATTGAAACTAATTTAATAATTTTAATATTAGTCTTTGTTCATTCTCGGTATATCTCGGAATGTTTAAAATATTTTTATGACAATAAATACAAAATTTAATTTTCACTGTAGGTAAAATGTCTGAAAATACTAACCTGGAACGGCAATTATCATTTTATCAGTTGACATTGTGAAAGTACTGTCACTGTCATTATCAAGATCATCTGTGTCAAATTATATTTATATGCATAATTAATTGGATATCTATTTAGCGTATTCTAAACTCCAACCAATTATACGTTGGTAAGTAGAATTCGCTTTAATATACGAATACCCGTGACTGATACCTGATTTTCTAAGTTCTATGTATAATAATCAGGGACTCACGTTTTTTTCTGTCACTTCTAGCTTAATGCGTTAGAGAGAATTCGAAAACTATGACGCACTGAAAGAAGGGTTTGGGACGGACTGTACCTCACACCAACTAGCTAAGCTTTCAATGTCATTCTGTAACAAAGGGGCATCAACTAGGTCATTAACAACTATTGGAAATATTTTAAGGTCATCAGCAAACATTAGAAATTTACTATTTTTAATCACTGAGGATATATCATTAACAAATATATTAAATAAGAGAGGTCCAATATGAGACCTCTGAGGAACTCCTGAGGTTACGGATACTCGTTGAGATAAACAATTTCCATATTTAACATACTGACATCTACCAGATATATAACTACCTATTCACTCAATTATTTTACCTCCAAATCCATAGCCATTTAATTTAGCAATAAGCAGATCATGGTTAACTCTATCGAAGACTTTTGAGAAGTCTGTGTAGAAAGCGTCAACCTGACCCTTCTGTTCCACTAAATTAGCTATAAAATTCGTATACAATATTAAGTTCGTGCATGTAGACTTACCTTTAGAAAAGCCATGTTGTCCAACATCAATTAGATCTTTACAATTCCATGTCAAAAAGTTATTTACAAGACACTCAAAAAGTTTGGGTAATACAGATTGGTTACAAACCCCTCGATAATTTTCAACATCATTTTTATTACCAGATTTGAAAATTGGTGTTAAGTAACTAGTCTTCCAAAGATCAGGAAAGATGCTGGTACTTAATGAGGAATTAAGTCCTCATTAAGTGGACTTGAGAGAAAATAAGAAAATTCTTCATATTATGTTTTATACTACACATATTAAAAATTAATATATTTATATATTCTTAATTAATTGGTCTCTTATAGGTTTACCCACTTCATTAGTCTTACAAACATTACCAAAAATAGATGAAGATCATATACTAAGTTCGAAACCTCCAAAGGAGAGGATTTTAGAAATGCTAGATCTACTGGAGAGCCATGTTGAGAAATTGAGGAAAAATGCTAGTCAAATAGAAGAAGATAAAGATGCCCTTTTGTGCACTCTTGATTCTGTTCTAAATGCTGATCTTATGTATAGTCTCGAAGCTAGTAAGTAGTTTATAGTAGATAGTAAGCTTTTTAGACATCTGCAATTAATTTTTGTATGGACCACATTATTACGTTAAGTTTACTGTGCATTATTAGTTTTTTTTTTACATTTGTTTATATCTTACTTTACTCTATTATATTATATTATTATACTTGATAACAGTATTTAGCTGTCAGCCACTGAGGTCATCTGAATTCCAACTGAATGTCAAAATTCAGATTAGTTTTGTCTCACAGGTTTATAGATTAATATCAAACAAATATTTTCAGTTTTACATTTAAAAAATTTAAGTAACAGTAAAAATAACACATTGTCATTATTGACCACCTTTTTGATATGACTTTTAATATCAACATGACCTCTTTAAATGATCCTCTTTTAAACTCTTAATATTATTACGTCCATTTATTTGCACAGATGATAGGGACGATGTAACCCGATACGCCGATCGAGTCATGAACAGATGCCTAACTGTAGAAGTTAAAGTACATACCCACAGAGATAAATTGCAAGAAGAAGCCCTGTTCCAAGTTAACCGCTTGATCGATGGACTCGTCATGGGGCTCAAATCTGACGCTGAATTGGCTAGATCTAAATGTGAAAGTTATATGAATGCCTGTTCTGCTAGTGTTGTCACAGTGAGTATTAATTTATTTATAGCAAGCTTCAAATATGGTGAAGCATTTTAGCAGCATTATTTAAATAAATTGTGGTAATGAAACAGTGGAGGGTTGGGTTTTGCCTGAATAGCAGAATATATAAACTAATAAACACCAGTAAGCAACACCACATATACTATATATGTCCCTAAATGAATCAATCTTTTTCTTAAAACATTACTATTCAGTTTTCTGTTTTAATCCACTGTTTTTATCTATTTCTTTTACTTTTCTTGGTGTTTTTCGTTAGTTATTTACAGCTTTAATGCTATTTTCTGACAGAAGAAGATATAAAGATAAAACAAATATGTCTAGTCTACAGTCAGATGCAAAAAAACGCAAGAGAGAAAATTTTGGTCAAATTCAAAGTATTTCAGTTTTCTTTTATTTCTCACACTATTTTGATAATTTTTTTAACACACTGTGTAAAAATTTATAAATTTTAATTTAGTATAGTGAGTTTTTAATACAATTTTGTATTTCTTATTATACAGGGTTAATCGAAATGTGTATTTTTAATCCTAACTATGAAACATCCTGTCCTTCTTCCACACTAAGAACCATGATCAATCATAGGTGTTCAATATAAAATCTTCAGAATTCATATCCGAAATTGGACAGTATAATTTTATCACCCAGTAGACCGAATGAATTTATTTGTTATTAAATACACACACGTAGTTAATTAGGTTACATACGAATTTAGTCAATTATCAACAATATAATTTGAACATCAGTCAAAAGTGCTGACAAAGTTAAACAATTTACATAAATTAGACACACATATCACGCGAGGCCCGCGAATATATTGACCCAATTAAAACTTATATAAAACTAATATCTCTTGCCTAGAGAAGCATTCAATCAACATTCACTCAACAAACTTGATAGTCTTCAGCGATCAACTGCAACAGTCACTACTCAAAGTAATCTTGGGTCAACACCCATAGTGTACGTCTCATCAATAAACTCTGCTACTATTATTTGGTGTTTCCATTACAACTGAACGAACATCTCCACTGAGCCAACGAAGGGGATTTGTTCAATAGGTAAACAAATTGTAAGTGTCAATATAACATAATGATAACAGTCATCAAAGCCACCTCGTCGTATTACAAAATAACTCCAAAATAATCATATTTTAAAAGCCCTAAATTGTGGGTGTCAAATTCATTGGCTCTAAAAATTAACCACGGCATATTTTGACATGAAACAAAAAGCACAATGCTTAGGAGACATGGCTGCAACCGAAAAATGCGGTTTTACGAAAATTTGCAAACGGAATTGTTCCACAGGATGTTTCAAAGTTAGGATAATAAAACCACGTTTTAATTAACCCCGTACAATAAGTCAAATATAAAATTTTATTAAAAAACTGACTATACCAAATTAAAATTTATAAATTTATACGCTGTGTGCATATCAATCATCAAAATAGGACTAAAAATAAAAAAATTTAAATACTTTGAATTTGACCAAAATTTTTTCTGTTGCGTTTTTTTGCATCTGAGTGTAGAAAAGTTTCCCTATAATCCCCGCAAAAATGTTTAACACTCTACATAGCCCTTTTATCGATGCATTACAACATCAGTTATTCATTGTCATATTTCATCACACCTTAGAACTTTACTTCAGACAAAAAGTCCATTCAGGTGCCTTTCAAACCCGTGTATACTTTTTCACCTAAGCTTTTGTTTGAAATGTACCATTACTGCTTAGTACTACTTGTAGTAAGGTTAGATCATCTGCATAGCATGAAATTAAAACCTTACGAGACGGTTTTTTACCATTAGTGACCACAGCATAGGTGACAGTACACCTCTTAGTAGACACAATTATTTTCCTTTAATCAAAGTGAGTCAGTTATCAGAGGTAGATTTGAGCTGGCACACAAAACTGGACACTGTGTTTGTAGATGTTCTTGTTATTAAACCTAACTTTACTGATCCAGGCTTGTCAAGACAGAAAGGCGGGACCGCATAAAATTGAAAAACGCTCGTGTGTATAAAGCTATACTAGGGACACGAGTTTCTCCAAAAGTGTTTAAAATCATTTGTCTGAGATAAGCTTTGGAGTTTTATAGTCTTTTGTAGTATATACAGAAGCTCCTTCAGAAGTTTCTGTTTCAATTCCTAAAGGTGTTGTATAAATTTTTGAAGGGTTTCCAATACCAAATGCATTTTGCTCCATTAAAAATTGTATCATTCTTTTTTTATGATATCTGGCATAATATTAATTTCCTTACTTGCTTAATACATTGTTTAAAGGTTGTTTGACTTTGGCTTGGGCAATTCTTTTATACAGTGCTAGTCAAAAGCCCGTTCCCCCTTGTATATTTTAAACGGATGTTGTTTGCGAAACTACAATTTTAGTATTTATTTAATTTTTTCATCAAAATGGACTTAGTAAATAAAATTAGTATGGTTGAATTTGTATTTTCAATACCTTTCAAACGAGGTATCACTTGCTATTCCTATGGTATAAGGTCCTATTTAAAATTACCTGTCACAGTGGCACTGTAACCTCATCTGTCACTTTTATGTCACTTTTTATGATTAGTTAAGAAGCATACGCCTTTCTATAACCGTTCAAAAGATACAAGGGGGGGGGGAATGAACGGACTTTTGATTAGCACTGTATAAACATTAACATTGCAGGCAAATTTCCTGTACGTGTCTGTTATTGATCTTTTTTGTTTCTAGGGCGCCACAGACAAGAACTTCGAATCAACTCTTCTGGGCTGTACGGTAGACGATCAGAAAAAGGTCAAAAGACGACTTCAGGGACTGCTCAACTACTTCGAAAAGTTAGAAGTAGTGTCGTTAGAAGAAATGAATTGTTAAACATAGTTAGTTAATTATTATACAATGAAGACTGCTAAACTTTACTAGTTTTAAATATATATCTATATATAGATACAGAATGTTTCAGAAAAGTAATAAATGTAGAGGAAAAAGTTTATAAGAAGTATCTTTCATTTCTGTAATTTCGGTCAAATGTACCACAAAGTTGTATTTTATACTAATTTTGTAGTATGGGTTGTGTAGCTCGGTATATAATTGAGTCCAAAATATTTTGAGATGAAAAATGTTTTGTTATATGATATCCCGATTTTCTTTGCCATTTCCTCTAAAATAATAGTAAGAAATCTTCATGCATGAAAGTTATTATATTTAGGCTGTTGTGAAACTTGAATTCATATACAACATAATATATATCTTACTCTTACTGTTCTGAAGCTATTTTCTTGTGGCATCTTAATGCAATTTACTATTTTTGTTGGGAATAAGCCTAAAATTTAGTTATTTAACGTTTCTATTTCTACTCCGGACATCGTTATGTTAAGAACAATTTCCGAAGTGGTAAGCGAAACTTCAAATAAACTTAATTTTAAAGTAAAATTGTGGCTTATTCTCAACAAAAATAGTAAATTTCAGTATTCATGGCTCTAGTAAGGTACATTAATTTTTTTATACTAACATGAAAAACACAAAATAATACATCGTTTTAATTTGCCAAGTATTTCTTTCGGTATTAAATTTTAATTGCTGTTTAGGTTAGAACAAAAGGCATTAAGAAACTAAAAATTTATTCTAACACCAAATAAAGAGAATTGCGATTTTTAAATTCTTACAATTACACCATTAACATCAGTCTTACAGATTTCTAAACTTTTCTATTTATTTTACATTTTTTTTTCAACATTATGATTCATAGGTAGACCTTGCTACCTATGGATTTTCCTGCAAATATTCCTGATGATAAACAACTGACCCTATAATTTTCGTGGTCTAATTCATCTCCTTTAGTATGTATTTTTTTTCCCAGAATCCATCTGTTATAAACCAATTTGTATTGCAATTGACGTTATGTATTGGGGTTAGTGTCTTCTTCCTCTTTAAGTGCCGTCCCCCAATTGGAGGTTGGATATCATCATCATTATCTTTACTCTATCTACTGCTGCTCTGAAGAGTTCAATAAACCAGCATTTAAACCAATCACTTAAATTCTTCAACCATGAGACTCTTCTTCTTCCTATAGTTCTTTCTCTTCTTATCTTTCCCTGTATTATCAGCCTTAGCAGTTCATATCGCTATCCTCTCATTACGTGTCCGAGATATTGTAACTTTCTTATTTTTATTGTGTTTATTATTTCGCATTCTTTGCCCATTTTTCACGATACTTCCGTGTTAGTTTTCTTCTGTGTCCATACTATTCTAAGCATCCTCCTGTAACAAAACATTTCAAAGGACTGTAACTTATTTATGTATTCTTGCTTCATTGTCCAGCTTTCAAGTCCATATTGCAGTATCGAAAACACGTAGCATCTCAGTGCTCTTACTCTCAGTTCTAATCTAAGGTCTTTGTTGAAGAGAATTGTTTTCATTTTTTCAAACGCATTTGTTGCTATTTCTATCCTGGCTCTTATTTCGGTTGTTTGATCATTATTGTCTGTAATCCAGGTTCCTAGGTATTTGTATTTATCAACCCTTTCTATCGGTACATTTCCCAAATGTATGATTGTTGGTATATTTGTTTTCTTGGTTATTATCATGTATTTGGTCGTTTTTATATTCATTTTTAGTTCATATTTTTCACAGAAACCGTTTGTTTTGTTTAGCAGTAATTGGAGTTGTTCAGCAGAGCTTGCCATAATTACGTTGTCATCTGCATATCTTATGTTGTTAATAGATCTTCCATTAATTATTATTCCTTCACTTTGAGATAGTAATATTTCTTCAAAAATGTCTTCACTATATACATTAAGGAAAGGTAGAAGGCCGAAGATGTCGGTCAGATAGCTCAGCGGGCTGTGCGGCTGCCTCTCATTCGCTTCACTGTCGAATGGTTCAGTGGATGTGGGTTCGAGCCCCAGCTCAGTGTACAGAAAACAAAAAGTCTAACGCAGCAGTTTAAAATTCTAGATGAATCTGCGGCTTAGACTAGGATATGCTGGGATCTGATCGGCCTATGGTGGAGCAGTACGGCAAGAGATAAGGGCTTGCGGCTCGGTGATACTCCTCCATAGATCCCTACTGGACGGGCGTAACGCCTAAAAAACCAGATATATATATATATATATATATATATTATATATATATATATTATATATATATATATATATATTTATATATATATATATATATATATATATATAGAAGGCCGAAGATCACGAGGAAGATCCCCAACAAGATGGTTAGATCAAATTACAGGAATATGCCAAAGACCTATGCATGAATTAAAAGAAATGACCAGAGACAGAGATCTCTGGAGACGGACAATACACGACATCACGTCGACCACTACACTCCCCCTGGGGGTCAGGATTGAAGAGAGAGATATACATTAAATGGTAATGAGGACATAATACATCCCTGCCTAACTCCTCTTCTGATTTCAATTTCTGGATTGGGTTCGTTATCTATTAGGATTTGTGCTCTTTGATTCCATGTCTATGTTTTTTGTCTTTAGAATTTGGACTAATTTTTCATGTCTTACTTTGTCAAATGCTTTTTTGCTTCTCTGGTTCTCTGGTTCCTAGTCCGTTTCTAAACCCAAACTGACTATCATCTATTCCTTCTTCCAGTTTTTTATTTATTTATACGACCATGTATTATTTTCAAGAATAATTTGAGAATGTGACTTATTAGTGATATTGTTCTGTGTTCACTGCAATATTTAGCGTTTGTATTTTTAGGGATAGCACAAAACGTGGAGAGCAACCATTGTTTCGGTATGTGTCCTGTTTTGTATACTGAGTTAAATAAGTCTACTATAATGTCTAAGGTTTCATCATTTATGCGTTATAAGATTTCTATAGGGATTTGGTCTGGACCTACAGCTTTGTGGGGGGCTAGTGTATTTTTGTGCAAATCTCATTGTATATTACCAATTCTTTTTGCTTTCTGATTTATAGCTGGTAGTCACTATTTACCTACACTTCTATCACTCTCTTTTGACTATATCTACGATTTTGATACGTTTCTCTTCATGCTGATTTCTTGTATCTAATTATCATTCTCTTCTTGTGAGTCTTATTAAATTCTTTTTTTTTTCTTTTCAGGTTTCATTGTGATCTTGAAAATTTTGTTCACAGTGTTATTTCCTAAAAGCATAAATCAATTCTTTTACAAAGTCCTTTTTTTCGTCATTTGTCTTCTTCCATATTGTTTCCACAATTATTCTATGAAAACTAGTTATAGCCACCTCTTGCCTATGTATTTTTTTATTAATGGCCTTATATTTATTTCCGTCTCATTTATTGAAGTTTAAAGTTTGACAGTTCTGACAGTGACGTTTAAAAAGGAGATTTCTAAATATAGAGAGTTTTAAATAAAATATGTTATAAACTTTTTCCCTCTATATAGTTACGTAGAATCTTTAATAATTCATCTCAGAACGCGCCTCTGCTGGCTTATATATTGAGAATGAACTATCTCGAAACAGCTGGCTCAGCGACGCTCGAATCGTCATAAAGTCCGAAAAGTTTTGAAGGTCATCTCTGCGTTCGTGGAATATTTTCGACGGACAGAGTTCTCGACTTCTCTAACGCACAGGACTGCAATCAGGGGTATCTGATCTACAACAATACTATGTTAAACGTTTAAGTTAATAATTTTTCAGATAATAAATACAACTTATACACGTGGGCTAATTCTTTTCCCACTTACAATACAAAATATTGACAAATATCTGACTTTATTCGTATTGTGAGCGCTCTACCTGATTCTTCGTCTATATTCAACTGTCTACCACATTTAAATTTACGAGTCTGCCTTTTTACTATGCCATATGAGGCCAAGCAGTACAAGTGCGTTGTTTCTAGTGTTGAGAAATTTAAATTTGAATTTACTCGTTTTTTCTAAATTTGACCGCTTGTTCTTTTTGATAATTGAATGGTGGGCCGCAAAAATGTTGTGAGCGACTGAATTGAGATTATGCAAGAGATGAAAAAAACATATTGATAAGTTATTTATGAAAATAACTGAAAAAAATCAATTTCACTTAACAATAAGATAAAGTTATAGATGTGTAAACAAATTATGCAGGTTTACACAGAGTAAGCAGAAAATTTCAAAAAATTATCCCAGCAACAATTTTGCATATAACAGTGTTTCCACCTGATTACTATGCGATGTTTTGGCTTATTTAGGTTTTGAAAAAGTATCGAAGATTAATAATAAACTATAATCAATTCAAAATGGTTATTAATATGTTTTATATGCTAAGTACACAGTTTAATGCTCCTTTAATTTAAACTTAAAAATAATAATCTATCTTATTCTAATTTTTCATAAAACTCTCGGTATTCAGGTTTCAGGTACTGTCACATATCCAATAGATTTTTGCGTTTTCTTCTATTTTTATAGCCCTGGTATACGCATTCGCCAAAGCATAAATTTGGTAGTTGAATGCTCAGATGGCTTGTGCACTCCATTTTTTATTCACAAGTGAGAATATTTGCCAAGGTTGCATGACCTTGTGAGAAGTTCTAGTCATTATTTTCGTAGAATCATCGCTGTCGAATTTGAACCAACGGTGCTCAGTGATCTTACATTTGGGATCTTTCCATAAGTAGTTCTCACATGCTGAAAAGTCTTTGAAGTATTTTTGCTCCATGTAGTACACCACTGTAGTACAGTTGGCAATCACTGCCACCCAGTCGAAGGGTACAGTCACCATTGCTCTTTTTTTCTTTCTCTCTACGAGCGAGAAGTTACGGTCGCAAGGTAAGAAGCTGTGACCGCTAGTTACGAACTTTTGTTCTACTTGAGTGAAATATCTATTAAAAATCAGCAAACGGAACATGGACAGCATTCTCCAGTTATTATTCTGACCGAAACATCGGTCAGACCAGACTATAAGTTTTTTTTTCTCCTGAGTTATT